GAAGTCCTATTAGCATTGAGTATTAATCCAGCAATGGAAAAAATTCTTTAGCTGTGCAGGTATACAATGAACCTTCCTAGAGGAAGTTCCAGTCGCTTTTTCTTCCAAAAGATTAATGCGTCCTCTTCTGGGATATTATTTTGGCTGAGCAAAATATTGCATTCTTGTTCTAGATTACTAATATTGTTATAATCGTTACTTGGAAGGGAATGTTTACAAGCTAATTTAGCTATATAAGAGTTTGATGTTTGACCATTATCCTCAACTTGAATTTCACTCTGTGCATTGTTTTAAATGTCGAATTAAATTTTGCAATGATGTCGTAGGATTCGAATTTAAATATTCTGAAACTACTTTAAGATTTTGAAATCTGGGATCGAGTTGCTAATATCCAGATTTGTTAAAGTAGCTAAGTAGCACTTTTAAAAAATATAATGAAAGTAAGTATAAGCACGAAAATTTAAATATAATACCATAATTAATTATAATTTTTATGATTTATTATTTAATTATGAAATTGAAATATATTTTCAATTTGTAATTAATATTTTCAATTTGTACTATAAACCTAAATCACCTGTTATTTATTTAAAATGGCATCGCATATGGATATCCAAATTGTTGAAAGTGATTTAGAGTCAGACAATGTTATTAATGAAATGGAAGATACCAGGGAAGAAAATAATATTCATAGCAATACTTTCCGATTCCCTAGATTTCAAAGATTTTTCAAGAAAAATATTTAAACAAAAACTGGCTTCAAATTTATATGTTTAAATGTAAAAAAAATATTTCCTCAAATCAATCCAGTAGCTATAACCTCAAGAAACACCTAAAGGTAAATTATCATTTTTACATAAAATAATAATATTTATTTTATAAGACTGTTCATGCTAATAGTTTTAAGAAAATTGAACAATATTTAAAAAAATTTGACATAGGTGAATCTACATCCAAAAAGACTAATTCCATTCAGACAAAATTAATTAATAATACAAATGCTAATATTTCTCAGAAATTAACTGATAAAGTTATTGTGAATTGATACAGTTCAGCCAATGTCCTTGGTTGATAATCCATCATTTACTATGATGAATAAAACTTTATCACCTGGTACAACTATTTTATGTTGCCAGACACTTGTGAATAAAATAGGAGATAAGTTAAAAGTGGTGAAAGATGCTTTAATAGTAGAATTATAAGAAATATCTCATATATGTACCACGGCAGATAGTTGGACACATAACAGAAGGTAAACACTTATTTATATTTATAAATTGATCTGATTAAATATTTTTAGAGCTTATTTGGGAATCACAGGCCATTGGCTAGACCCTAGGACTTTAAAAAGAAGATCAGTAGCATTAGCCCTCAAAAGGATAATAGGATGCCAGACATACGTGTACTTGCAAATAAAATTATTGAAGTCCACAAGTCTTTTAGGATTCATAATAAAGTTTGCAAGATGGTGACCGATAATGGGTCCAATTAGCTGAAGGCCTTCAGTATTATAAATTAATTTTTAAAATATTTAGAGTAATAAAATTAAATCAAGTAATAGTTAAGTTATTAATTAAATTTTTCAGTATTTATTTAAAAGTTGTTTAATATTTCACATTATATATAGAATTTTTATTAACTAAATACATACATATTTTAGTAATATTATATCATAATTTATATCAAATTATAAAAAAATTAGTGAATTTAACTAATAAAATTTACAACAGAGATGGATTATTTCATTAGTTTTTATTGCACAGTGTGATTAAGCTTAACATTTAATATGATATGGTTATTGAATATTTCATGGATGATTAGATTTTTACTATATTTATTTCTTATTGATTAATATCCACCAATTTATATACAGTACAGGGAATTCAATGTATTCATTTGATAAAATATTTTTATTTAATTACATCATAATTCCTGAGGTTTATAATTTAGAATAGCAACCTAATGATTTTACCACTCCATTTTTGATAAATATCACATTTCTATTAAAAACGGGATGAATAATTTATTCTATTTAATATGAATATAGAATATTTGGTGGGGATAATGCTGAAGGTGAGACACAGAGAGATTATTTAGTAAGGCAAAACTGATACTTTCTGTTCGTCGGTCTAGACTTGGGGACGATAATATTGAAATGATTTTATTATTAAAATTCAACAAATTACCATAAATATTTAAAATTTATTACATAGATTTTTTTATAATCAAATTAACTATATTTTAATTTATAAATGTTGATTTTTACATATTATTTACTATATAATTACATTATATGCAAAATAAAAAAAAAATTGTTTTAAATTTTTTTTATAAAAAGTAGCCTAAAAGTTAGCTAAAGCTACTTTTTAAAAATAGTAGATAATAGCGAGCTACTTTTAAAAGTAGCGATTAACAACTCTGCTAATATCTAATGTTTAAAATATAATTTTATTAATAAAAATATAAAATATAAAATAACTTGAAGCTCAGTAATGGGAAACCTATGGTCAAGCTTTTTTTTCATATTTTCTTTTAAGCATATAATATCTGAGCAATCAGATCTATTGATTTGTATATGAGCTTCTATTTCACTGCGAAATAATAACCCTAAGTTTATTGTCGATCCTTTTTGGGAGGAAAGAAATTCCACCGACTCTCGGAATGGATATAATACTGCGCAAAGCTCATCAATCATATCCCATTCATTATTAAAGAGTTTTAAAGATTGTTTTCCTATTTTATTTAGAACATAATTTATAGGAATTTTTTTACACTGCGAACACTTTCTAGCATAATTAATATGCTATGCCAGCGGGTAGGGCAAATTAATTTTAAAGTTTTTGTATTAGATTGGTTGGTGCAATGCCGTTTCTATTATCGGCCTAATCAGGTATATGAAAATGGTCATCAAGGTATGGATCAGAATCATCATTATCCAAGATATGACCTGTATCATAAATTGAATAGAAAGTTACGATGCTCAGCTTCAATTTTACATTCCAAATCAGCTACTCGATATCTTGAGGGCTAAAAATATTTCTCTAATTTTTTTTAATGAGAATATCAATTCTGGCTACTTTTTTTATGCCATCAACTATAACCAAATTATGAAGTCCATGAAGCATAAATGATGCTCATGATCCCCCAATCTGACACTTCTTTTGACATTGGTCCCAGCATCAGTTACCATTTGTATTGTTTTGACTTATAAATGGAACTCCTCTTCAATACTATCAATCTCAAATAATATTGTTTCCCCAGTATGCTTTTGAGTCACTTTCTAGTTGCTACGGTAAAATATTTTAAATCAAAATTTTCATCTAAATGATGAAGACTAAATGTGATATAATTTCGACGCTTAAAATGATCGGTCCATAAATCAAAAGTGATAGAACAAAATTTTGGTCCAGAATCAAACAGATTTAAAACATGGGCCTTTATAGATAAATAAACATACATCGTCTAGTGCACCCCGACTAATGGTTGTCCTATTTGGCAATTCTGACGAGGAATCAATTATCTTATATTTCTATTTTTTAGGCAATTTATTTTTTAATAATTATTTTATATAAATTTTAAACCTTTAGAAAATCTGTAATTCCTTTATTGTTTATATAATCAAATGGCATTAAATCTAAGTAGCACATCAAAACATAATTTCGCCCTATTAGATTTCATATTTATTTTAAACATTAAAAAGATTTTTAAAAAACATAAAAATAATTAGAGCTGGAACGAAACAAATTATAAATTAGATTTAGTTTTAACTGTCAAAATAAAGCTTTACATAATTAATTTAATAAATTGTATATTAAGTATATATTTTAAAATGATATTTAAAAACAAAATAATTAGAGCTGGAATGAAACATATTATAATTTGATTTAGTTTTAACTTTCTAAAATAAAGAAGAGCCATTATTTATCTTTCATATTGTTGCTGCAACTTGGTGTTGGCTTTAAAAACATTTTTAGAGGATTTATTATTATTCATTTTTTCCGATAGTTTGTGATAATTAATAAGTGCCGAGATAGATTACTTGTACTTATATTTTTACTAAAACATTTTATTTCATAACTAAAATATAAAATATATATAAATATAACTCTAAAAAAAAATTACTGTGAAAATGAATTATGTTTATTCGAATCTTCCTCATCTTTTTTTGTCAATTTTAAACAAGGTTCATAATAAATATAATCAGATATTATTGTGCTTTTCTTATTTTCATTCTTCAAAATAAGATTTCCAAAGTATCTCCAGACATAACTTGATTTATGATTAGTAGAGAGTTGATATTTCATAATTGTATATAGGGTGGTTTAAAACTTGGAAGTCCATAAAAATAATTAATATGAATTGTTTGTGGAAATAAAATATGATGTATGAATGAATGTAAATGATATACACTAGTCTATTATATATAGCAATAGAATACAATTCATATTTTAATTATATTAATCTTAGTATTCAAATTAAAATAATAATAATTTAATATATAAATATAATTAATATGATTTCTAAAAATTACACACGCCGCGCCACCGCCATAATAAAAATCGGCGGCTAGTCGGCTCGCGCCGATGATCTCAATTGGCGGCTTTACCGGCGTGAATAAAAATACCGGCGGCGCCGGCGTGAGCCAGCGGCCCACAGGTCTAAGTGTAACACGTGTGTTGAAAATAATATATGTTCTAGGTTTGGCCCAATACTTTACGAATGTTAATTAATGTTTAAAAAAAGAAAGAGATAAAATATAAAAAAAAGAGAAAATATAACAAAAATGTTAAAACATTAAATGGTTGAATAAGTGTATTAAAATATATAAAATATTTTGATATTGTTAACAACAATTATTTTTTATTATAATTCATATATTCTATGACCAATAATGTATACATATTGTTTTAAAGGGTTTATATTTTAATAAGAGTCTTAATAGTAGAATATCAACTAAATTTTCTTGGTTTTCCATCTATCACTTTTTAAAAAATGATTGATGTCGATACTCTGCTTGTATAAGATTTGGACCTTTAAATATTTAATTTATAAAATATTATGAGATTCCTTATGAACAAACGTATTTTATCAATTCAAAGTCATGTAGTGTCTGGATATGTTGGGAATAAAAGTGCTACTTTTCCTTTACAGCTATTAGGCTTTGAGGTAGATCCTATTAATTCAGTTCAATTTTCTAATCACACTGGCTATAGAAATGGATGGAATGGTGATATGCTTAATTCTAAGTCATTAAATAATTTATTTGATGGTCTAATATCAAATAATTTAATCGAATATAGTCATCTATTAACTGGATATATTGGGGATGCCGATTTTTTGAAGTCCATAATAAATATTCATAAATACTTAAAAGAAAAAAATCCTAATTTAATCTATTTATGTGATCCAGTTTTGGGTGATAACAATAAGTTATATGTGCCAGAGGGATTAATTCCAATTTACAAAAATGAAATATTACCATTAGCCAATATTTTAACCCCAAACCAATATGAAGCAGAAGTACTCTCTGAAATGAAAATAAATAATGAAAATGATGTGATAATTATTCTAAAAATGTTACATCAAAAAGGCATCAAAACTATTGTTTTATCAAGCTGTCAATTTGATAATTCTGAAAATTTATACTGTTATGCTAGTTTATATGAAAAAAATCAATATACCACTGTTAAAGTTGAATTTCCTAAGATAAATGCAAAATTTGTTGGAACTGGGGATCTATTTTGTGCCTTATTTTTAGCATGGTATGATACATATAAGAATGACTTAAAGCAAGTGTGTGATAAAGTTTTATCTACGATGCAACTAATTTTAAAAAGAACAATTGACTATGCAGGTAAATATAGCGACTCAGATCAAGACAGTGCAAAGTATTTAGAACTTAAACTTATTGAAAGCAAAAGGGACATTGAGAATCCATTAAATATTATCAATTCATATTATATAAGCTAAAAAATGACTCATGTATTTATTCTAAAATATTTTGTAATAAATGGTATTATAGACTTATTTTTACACAAATTAAAATACACCTTAAAGCTGAATGTATATTTTAATGTGCATGTTAAAATTAGCCCTAAAACAAATAACTTAAATATTTTTTTAAAAAATTAAATATTTTTTACTTATTAATTTGACTTTAAGCTTATCCAAACATTAGGAAAGAATTATAAACTCAATATTAAGGTTTTTAAAAATTTGTTATAATGTTGATCAAATCAAAAAAATTGTAATTTGATATTTTACAAATTTCTGAACAATTTAATTTAGAAAAAGAATATTATAGGTGTGTACCAGTGCTGCTTTTTGGTAGCCTTTTGATTTAAATTTGCTGATTTCAAGTTTCAATCACAGATTTTAATCTTAAATTTTTATTAACATTACGGGAGAAATCACTGATATATTATCTAAGATCATCATAAAGGGGTAGGGGGCTTTTGAGTAGTTATTTATACTATAAATTTATTTGATAGATATAGGCCTACTCTTTAAAGACCCTTGGCCAGATTGTTTTAAAAAAAATCATTTTGATTTTGCACTTTTAGAAAAAATTTTCCTCTAAAATTTCTAGTCAATACTTTAATTCTTACTTATTTTATAAGAAATATTATATATGACATATTATTGTATTCATTTTTGGGGAGAGGGGGTGGGTTAGGACAATTTTTTTTATTAGCTTAAAATATTATTTTACGGAAAGTGGCAAATTTGCCAAGGGAGGACTCTTCTCTTTCCCCCACACCAGTTATATCAATGTAAAAAATATTTATACAGAATAGAATAAACTATAAATTAACCAATAAAATCAATAGACCCTTTTATAATAGGCCTTTCACAACAACAGTTTTTTTTTAAAAATGTTCATTATTAATAAATTTAATCCTGGGGAATTATTTTCAGAAAGTCCGCCCCCCCCCTCCTCCAAACTTGGGATCAAACCCAACTTGCTGCGCCCCAGTTCAGGCCTTTAAAGTCAAATTTTTTTGTATACCAATCTAGCAACGATTTTTTTTTTAAATTCGCATTTCATTTTTAAAAGCAAATTATTTTCCCGAAAAAATACTATTGATCCTTCCGAAAAATATATTTAGAAGGATAAAGAATATATATTTATGGTTGAGAAAACTTCTTTATGCTTACCTGGGTAACTCGTACAGTCAAATAAAAATATATTAAAATATCTTACCGAATGTTAGTCAAAGTTGATTTATAAAACAATCTTAACATTTCTTATGTCCAAAGGTTCAGACTGGTCACAGATCTTTTTAAAGTTGGTTTCAGGTTTGGCCAATTTTCTTTAACTGTTCAGATTCGGTTTAGGTTTCAGTAAATTTTCAGGCTTGGTTTCCTATTCATTTTCAAAATAAATTAACATAAATAAGCTATTCAATTAGAGCCCTGCAAATTCAAAGCTTAATTTTTATATATTTTTAGGCTCGAGGTTAGTTCGGCCCAAATTTATATTTCAGACCCGAATTCGGCTAGGCCCAGAATTTTTAATTACAAAATATAAATTAACGCATTTTATGAAGATAGATGAAATAAAATGACTAATTTTTTTTTCCTAACCACGGATAAATTCTAACTATTATTTTTGAAACAAAAGAAAACATGAATTTATTATTTTAGAATTTTTTAATTTTTCATTTCAAGCCTGACCAAAGATATTTATAAATTTGTAAGCCTGGCCCGGACTTGCAGGTATCTAATTTCAATTTTTTAAAAAAAATTACCATATTATTTTAAAATAAATTATATAATAATATACTTCGTAAATTATTTTTTATCCGTTATTTTTATATATCGGATCGACAATTTAACGATATCGGCCGATGACCGATTTTTTAGTAATAGAAATTTAAAAAATTGGTACATATCGCTACTAATTATTTAACTAAAAAAGACTTATGATAAGGTCCGACTGGACTTTTTTTTAAAATAGTAAATTAATATAATATAAGATAATACCTATTTTATTTATTAAACCTCGTCCTAGCATCTATAAATTAGTTACTAATTTGGTCAACGAATTTCGTCATTAATGTTTTTAAACGTTCGTCAAAAGTTCATAACTAAAATTAGTTACCAATTTGAACTGAATTTAAGAATTATATGTCCGTACAATATTTTAAATGATTGCATTTGAGTTTATAAATAATGTCATTTTACCATCATTTACAACATCTTGAAAAGACAAGCGGAAAGCCCCAAAATTATATGATTGTTAATATATTTTTTTGTTTTCCTCTTAATTTCTTATTGATCTTCTAATAATAAGTTAGACTACTTTAAGATTATATAGAGATGCCTCCATTAAAAACACAATAAACTTATCAAATTAAAATGCAAATTTCGTGAAAAAAATACTTGGACACACGAATTAATTAGTTCACTAAAGTAATTAATATTTATTTCCTATTTATAGTGTTGTTAAACGGCTCAATTTGAGCCGATTTTTAAAAACGGCTTCTAAAGATTTTGCTCATAGATGGAACATAGGATTGAACATCTATTGGCGAAATCTAGACGCTTAGGCGATACTTTCCTGGCTATAATGTTGCGTTAGCCCTTTTTAAAAATCGGCTCAAATCGAGCCGTTTAACAACACTACCTATTTATAATGAATTGCTAAAAATAATTAATGAAAAATCATGTGAAATTATTACACTTGATGTAACTATTATTATATCAACTATTTTATTTTATAAGTAAAATTATTCATAATTGCGATTTAAATTACTTTTATTCTTAAAAATAAATATTAAAAAAACTCAATTTATTCATCATCAATATTTTAGCCTAATAAGTTTATATTGATATTGAGTCAATAGGCTTAGGTATAACCTAGGCCAATCAAAATCGGCATAGATTTAGCCTTAGCCAATTAAAATAGGCGTAGGCTTAGGCATAATTTAAATTGGCTAAACTAATCCAAATCTCCATAAGCTTAGAGCTTGTAGCAAAATAATTTTATGAAAATATTTTATATCTTAACGAAATACATTTTCAAAGTTTTTTGCCCAACTTTAATAAATAATGAATTTTGATAACTCAAAAAATAAAATATGAGTGATTCCACCATCCATTTAAACAAAATTATAATAGTGATTGTGAAAAATAGACATATTTTCGCCCAAATTTTATAATAAAAATAGAAGGAAGTTTTAAATAATGATGAATTAAGGCAGTTCTATTAGATCCTAGATCTAGGTTATTAATATATTAATAAATTATAAATGGGAAAGAAGCATCTTGAAAATTTTGTTAGATGGGATTTGAAGTCAGACCGACGATTTATTTTAAAAAAATCTTTGATTCTCAATTGAAAAATTATTATGTGAACTAATGATAAATAGTGCTGTAACGTAACGTGTCGTTAGTGACAGCGTTACCTTCTTCTAGAGGTAACGAGGAACGGTAAGAAAAAATATTACTCGTTACTTTAATTTTTTTCTTAACAAATATGGAAAAACATATTTTATTGTATTATAAAATTATTTTTTAAATTTTACAAATAATTTAAGCCTAGTTTATAAGTCAGATCAACCAACAGATTTCTTCATTTTTATTTAAAATTTTTATTGTTAAATTTTCAGTCATTGTTGCTAATCTAATTATTGAAATCAAGATAAATTCTTATTCTTATGCTCTAATATTATAATTTATTTTTTAAAGAATATTATGCCAATTGTACGTATATCTTCAGATAGATGATTTAACTTGACCTGGTCTCAATATGAAACATTTTTTTACAGGAAACAAAAAATTAAGGGTACGAAGTCTACACTTTAAAAAATTGTGTCCCAACTCAGATATTTCCTCAATTGTGGAATTAACATGGGCAGTCTCGAAAGTGTGCGGCCATTTCTAAGGAATAAATGGGAAGATATCTGATTAAACTGGTTATAACAAGATGAACACTTTCCGTGAAATTAATAGTCTTATTAAGGAGAATAACCAATTTGATGAATCTTGTGATAAATACGAATAGCAGAGATTTACAGATAATGACAAGTCGTTCATATATATATATTGTATAGTTAGTGTTAATTAAAATATGATATGTATATATATATGATTTTATAAGCTATGAAACATGTTGCTATACCTTTCGATTTTATAACATTTGGAATATCTCACTCCTACGATAACTATTTAAAAAAATGAAACTTAAAAAAATTGCTTTAAATAATTTCAAGTTTTGTAAGCCACTTATTTATGTAATCCTGCAAGACATAGATAAAAGGTATACAGTTAAAATAATGTTTATAATTTATTTTTGATTATATATTTATTCTCAATAGATTCGAACACATCTATAAAGATGAATATATGCTATCAGCAATAATTCACCCACTACTTAAATTAGATTAGCCCCGGATAAAATTATAGGTCAACGAAGGTAGAAAGTTTAAACTTATTTTCAGTTTGATAAAATATCTTAACAAAGAAAAAGCAGACTATTCCTTTAAAAAACAATACACATTCCAGATTATTTTCTGATAAAGATAAAAACTTTTAGTAAAGATCTGAATGAAGATTCTTTTAAAGATTATCTAATTAAGCTTTTTTAAAATAAGGATTGTTCTTTAATTTTTTATAAATTCCCCATTAAATTTTTATTTATTAAATATAATATAACCCTCCCTTCTGCGACGTTTAGCATGGCGAAAGATGTGTTAAGCACTCTCATCTAATCAAATTTTGAAAATCAATTTTTGTTAAAAATAAATAAAAAATTATTATAAAATATATCTTATTTACCTTTTTTGGAGTAACGAGTAACGCGTTTTTGTTGAAGTAATGTTTACAGGTCTAATTATAAATAATTTTTAGAGTGTTTCAAAATAAGTGACAATTAAAAAAAAAGAATTGAATTTTAAATTTTATTTAGCGGAATACTAAAAATTGATCATTGAAAGTAACCGTTTGGCATAACACCAGAACCATAAATATAATTAATTATAACTAAATTATAATTTATCATATTGCTTTAAATTCTTAATGTAAAATCT